TAGAATTAGTTAGCAGTAGTAGTAATTATCATTATCCAATCATAGTGCAGGGAATTTTTGAAGATCATTCTAGATGCATTCTAGAACCAATCTTCAAATTTACTATATTCCATGACTGGAATAATGCAGCCTATATTTACAAAACTTTAATTTCTATATATAAACTATATCATATTATACTATAACCTCTCTTTGGCTAACTAGCAAATCACTAATTAAGGGTAGAGTATACAAATTTTCAATTTCATATAAAATAGATTGTACATCAACTTTGTGTATATGATATCATATGATTTACATATAAATATTATATGATTTGACTAATTAAAACTAGCAATTTTTGTATAATCTCAGAAAAATATATAGCAATCCCAGAAACTTTGATTATATATAAAATTTATTTTTTTAAAAGCAATATATATTCCACAACTTCACTATTATAAACAGATTAGTTTAAACTACATATTATATAAATTTGATAAAAATTAACTAAGATGTTAAAAAGTTTAATCATAAGTATTTTTTTATTTACTAAGGTAGGCATGTCTAATTTGATACAGTATTTAATTTGACGTATCAATGATATCTCGTGAACTAATAATCTGAATTATATAATTTTGGTCCTATTTGACTCATCTCGATAAGACGAGTTGAATAGTACCAAAATCATGTGATTTGGATTACTAGTTCACAAGATATTATTATTTAATTGATTTACATACTTTTTTTGCTAAAGAAATCTATCAAAAAATAACAATAATGTGTTAAAATCAGATTCTCGTACTAAGTAAAATGGCTACTATATATTATTTAAATTATTCCTCTTGATAAACCCTGTATATCTTTAAATTTTGACAAGTTTTCAATAAAATTTTATTAATATAAGTTTAAGTATTCTTAATTTAACGCAAGTATACTTAAATATATTCAAACAGCTGTGATAGTTTAATTTAAATAAAAGCAAAAGCCTACGGTTACAATACCCATAATAATTAAATCTCATGTTATTCTACTTTAATCTATACATGCATAAGTTATAACGCGTATAAAAACAATTTGTGTAATGGCATAAGACACATACCAAAAAAAAGTACACAATTAAGAAAAATGAATTTTCAGTTACAAACATTTATAGGAGAGCTTGTGTAATACTGCAAAATATAACTTGCTTAAATATAAATTTCATAAGTAAAAAAAACTTAATCTAATAACAATAAATGCTTAAACTCGTATTGTAATACAAGCATAATACCTTAGTTTATTAAATTTAAAAACTATGACAAAATATAGTAATTATACTATCTGATACAATTCAATTAATAATGCTCTTAAGGCAATTCAAAATGCTCAAAATAACCCTAAAGTTCCAAGCACCAGAAATATCATATGCGATTATAGTCTTTTGGAAGCTATCTTTAGATATACTATTAATAACAATAGTCTTCTTGCTCACCCAGGCTATGCTAAAATTTTAACTAATCATGAAGAGAAACAGCTTGTCTAAATATACAGAAGCTCAGTTTTGGATTGACTAAGTCTGGTATAAACCAGTGCGTCATGGACATTATTCATTGAGACGGGCGACTCTGCCCTTTTAATGAAAATAGTTTGGGGCAAAAGTGGTAAAAATATTTTATAAATAATCATACAGAGCTTTCATTTCTGTATTCTACAAGCTCTGAATGAAGCATGTGTCTAAAAAGCAAACCCTATTATTGTTAAAGACAATTTTACAAACTTCAAAGCATCTTTCAAGAATATTCACTTACTACTAACTGGATTTGAAATATAGTTTATTTTTTTTATTTTTTTTATTTTTTATTTTTATTTTTTTTATTTTGCTTTTTTTTATTTATTTTTTTTTTTTACTTTGCTTTTTTTTTTTTTTTTTTTAAAAAAATTGGTTTTTTTTTTTTGCCTAGACTCCAAAAGGTCGGAGGAAAGAAAGAAAAATATCAAGTTTATTTGGGTTTATATTGTTGGGTTTATGAACATATTTCGCTATGTCTAACTATTTTAGCCGTCGGGATATATATCCTACCCTTATTTATTTTTAAAGGAAAACAAATGATTCTAGGCCTTCTAAATAGTACTCCTGCTGGCTTTGTCATGGGATTTACCAATACTGAATACATGCGAGAGAGTCTGTTTCAAAAATACATTAAATATTTTGTTAGATTTATTCTACCTGTATACCCTGTTTTGTTAATTTTAAATGGCTATAAGAGCCATGTCAATTACATTAGTATACATTTTTGTTATAAGAATAACATTCTTCTTTATGCACTTTTTTCACACACCACTTATGTTTTACAACCAGTTGAATTGCTATTTGCTATATTAAAAAAAACTTTTGATAAAGAGTATAATAAGTTTTGAATCAATAATGATAACAAACTTGTAATCAAATACATATTCGCTGAAATTCTAAAGTCATCATATATTACAATATACGCATCTACTGCAATATGCAATACCTCTAGGCTACAGAAATTTGGCCATTCAATCCTAGTGCTATTGGTTTAGACTATTTAGAGCCTTTATTAATAATAGAGCGAATCAATTTTTCACAAACCTTTGGGCCATTATCTTCATTGTACTTACCATCATCATCCTCGCTATTTTCATCTTCATTATCTTTTTTAGCTTCATCTTCTTCAGCTTCTTCAGCTTTGTCTTCTTTAGCTTCTTTAGCTTCGTTTTCTTTGTTGCCTTCATTCTCTTCCTTTTTCTTATTCTCAGATTCCTTATCTTCATCTTTTTTATTTTCAAGGCTGATCTCAGGTCAAGCACATTTCACAAAAAAAAACCCTACAAAAAAAGAATTAATATTAGAGATTGAATCATTAAATAAAAAGGTTGAAGATCTGGAAAAAGAATTAGAAACTTTCAAAAATCCTAGTACAATCTCTTTGCGACTTGTTTTTAAGTATCTTTTGTATCATAACACATAGTAGGCTGAAGATATAAACAATAAAGAAGAGGAATCTGGTTCTCAACTACCAAAAAAAAAAAGAAAAACTATGCTCTTTTCTCAACTACTTACCAACGAAAAATCTTTGCGAGAGTTGAGAGAGGCAGAAGAGGAGGCCAAAAAGGTAGCTGATGAGAAATAGCGCAAAAAAGAAGTGGTTATCCAAAACAAATTGCACATAAAGCCAAGAAAATATGCAAACAAGAAGCGCGAAGACAAAAAAAGGAAGATAGGAAATGGTTAGAGATAGAAAAACAGTATATTAGAAATGAAAAGTGCTTTGAGAAAAAAAATTTAAATTTACTTTATTTTGCAATAGTGCGTCAATTTAGGGATAGTTTGCTAACAATCTTAATTTTTGTACGAATATATATTTAGAATATTGTTTCACATTTTTTTCCAAAAAAAATTTTTTTTTAGTAAAAAAACTTTATTTTAGAGTAAATCTAATATATTTGATTAAAAACTTGTATAGTTTTATAGCAAATTTATAAAAACTTACTATAGACTAAATTAACTGTGTCAAATTAGATATACTTATCTTATATAAAAATTCAATATATCATGCAGATCATATGAAAAATGATCTATATACATTATACCTTTAAGCAAATTTATTTAAAAAATCAAAAATTATATTTAGTTATAACTCTTTTTAATGATCTTTTAGTTAATAACAAAATAACTAAACTACAGAAAAATATATAAGAAATCAACTAAGTAGATACTATTTTTGGTCTTATGTAAAGTAAAATATTGTTGATAAAGCCTAAGTTAAACATGATATATTGAGGAGCAGGTATTTTTTGGTAGTTTTTTTTAGAATTAAGTTTTTTCTATAGCAAACTTCTCAAGATATTTGGCATTTAAACTAGAAAGATTATTCTTAAAACAAGAAGTAGCAAAACTCTTACCAAATCTAGTAAAGCTTAGAAAATAAAATATACAACTATAAAATTTATAAGAAAAACTTCACATATACTCATTGACCCACTACTTTTTTTTGAGAAAATTTTTTTTAAAAAGTGAGTATTTTAGTTTACCTTCTCTAAAAGATCGATATCATATATACCAATCAAATTAGTATTATTTATCTCTTAATTGGTGATTCACTAGTCAACTAGTGAGAGATTATAGTGTAACATGACATAGTTTATATATAGAAATTAGGTTTTGTGAATGTAGCCTGTATTATTCTAAAACTTTTTTTTCATACTAAGTTAACCACTTTTGGGCTTCTAATTGAGTTATAAAGCTCGTCAAGACAAATTTAACTATCAAAATCAGCCTTGTAGATCATGAGATATCTTTGAAAAATATTTTACCAACTATGTAAAATTCTCTTTCAACAATACTATTGTTGAAAGAAAATTTACATAGTTAGCAAAATGTTTTTGAAGATATCTTATGATCTACAAAGCTGATTTTAATGATTCAACTACCATTAGATTCATCTCGATAAGCTCTACAACTTCAATTAGAAGCCCAAAAGTGGTTAACTTAGTACAAAAAAAGTTTTAGAATAATGCAGCCTATATTCACAAAATATTAATTTCTATATATAAACCATATCATGTTATACTATAACCTCTTACTGGTTAATTGGCGAATCACCAATTAAATTAATTTAACAACAATAAATATGTGAATATACGTCAGGGCTAATTTTTTTTGTACCTCAAAATTTAAGAGGTACTAACCAACTAGTTAGGGTTAGATTGTTATTTGACAGATATTGTTATATTTTTATTACGCTATATTAAATTTGATTCAAAGCCCAAGGTTTGGGTTAAGCTACATAATAAAATATGCAACCCACTATTTTTATCGTTATTCTCAACAAAATAAATAATGAAAACATACTCTTTCTCTATAATAAACCTACAGTATACAATAACCTTAACTTCTAAAACCTGTTTGAACATGTTGTAAACCTGTATCATCCAATTTTGTATAATGTAATTCGACCTTCAATTTCCAGATCGACAACCTTAAAGTTCATGGTGCATCAATTAAGTATCGCTACGTATAAAGCTTCATTTC